GTATCTTCTGTAGCTTCTGAAGGGCAGTACTAAATGAACAAATATGATATTTAGGCAAAATAAGGAAAATGTACACCACATCATTCTGTTCAAAGTTTTCCCCCCCAGCTCTTAATACATGGTTTTTCCTTCTGGAGCATCAGTGAGCGTTTGAACCTTCTGTAATATTTGCTTATGAGTCCCTCAGTTGATGGATCTCAAAATCATACAGTCATTGTTGGAAAGGGTTCAAATACACAATCAAGTAAATTTGATTCAATAATGTGTTAGCCTACTTGTTGACAATGTATGGGCTAAAATCACATAGTCTGTGTTGCCTATAACGTTACATGTGTATTTCATACACTCCAACAATACGTCAAAGTTATTAAAAAAATCATATTATGCTTGACATTGCTGAAGATTTTGGCATGCATTTTACTTGTCTTTGTTGTCTGATAGATCATTAGTAACTGATAAAAGTAATTGACCACTAATCATATTTTTATTATCATAATAATTTTTATCGATCACCATGCTACAGAACTGGTCTCCCGCCTAAATAGTTAATAACCTGGTACAAATATCTCTGACCCAAACCACCTATTTACATTGCAAGTGAAACTGTATTTCTCAACCATGTCTAAGTAAGTGACTAATTAAAGATGTCCAGTATTGACCGTGACCGCTGCCATCAGTCGTGAAGCGGACTGCAAATATAAGTTAGATATTTTTGCACACCGCAAATGTAGGCCTATGTCTAAAAAAGTTCTCGTTTTTGTCAGTGTCAGGCTCAATTCGGACAACATTATAAAAGGGATTCCTAGAGAGATCGATAATTGTTTTATCGTAATATCCCTTTTGTTTAAACTCAAACTGCCTTTATCGATCTCCTCAAACCCAGCAGACTCCATTGACAAACACGGTCATTTTACCTCGCGTACCATAGTAAAGCAAGCTTCGTTCAAACTCGACAGAAACAAAATAAAACTCACCAAAGTGGTATATGTTTGTCTTTCCGCAGTTCCAACAATCATCGACACTAGTTTTGGTCGAAATAAACCATAAGCTAATTCACTAGATGTGAAAATGTCAGGAGAGCAGTGGTGAAACAGTGCGTAACTTAACTCAGCAGAGTAGTATTTTACTGTAATGGATAAATGTGGTATTGTACTGTAGGTTTTTACAGTAGTGTGCTAAATCTACAGCAATTTCTAACAGTGTATTATGATTGATTGTATGAAGACTGTAATTGATTCTTTTTGTATGTTATGTAATTTTATGTAGGCCTATGTATGTATGTATTTATTTATTTTTTCTCTCTATATCTTCTCTGGATATGTTTGTCAATTGCCAGTTGAGTAACTGGTCTATTATTGATTGATTGAATACATTTGTGTTGATATGTGAAGAATCAGATGTTTAGATGAATAGTTTAAATAGAATGTGAACACTGAGGAAGGTCTTGCATGACCAAAACGTTTGTTGATTTTAAAATGCACTGAGCACCTTTTTTGTACTTTGTAAAGAAGATTACTAGTAATCACATGCCAACATACTAGCAAACGAATTTCAAGTATTGAGTTTTTTACTCTTTTTCGTTGAATTTAAAATTAATTTTTGCCACTCTCTTCTAACACTGAAATCCTTAGAAGGCTAGAGCCACAAATTCAGTTGGATACATAATTTATCAAAATCACACTACTTAATAAAAAACAAATGTAACATTAAAATGTAAAATAAAATTTAGCTTTTTTTTATTTTAAATTTTTTTTTTTTTTTACTTTTTTTCACAAATGGCAAATTTTATAAACTGTATTACTATTTTTTTTTTTCATTTTAAAGACATTTTAACATTGTAAACAGAAAAAAAGGTGTTCTTGTGCACTTATTCATGCTTTCCTAGTAAAAGCATGGCACTATAGCAACGCCTATCATGGGTTTGATTCCCAATAAAATTAGCATCCATGAACTGATAAAAATGTACAGCATCAATGCAGTGTAAGATTCTGATAATTCAGATAAAAAACATCTGCCAAATGCATTTTTTCCTACTATGGAAGTCACCGTCAACTGTTTGGTTACCAACATTCTTCAAGATACTTTCTTTTGTGCTCAACAGAAAAAATAAATTCATTCATGTGTAGTACAGCTTGAGGATGAGTAAATGATAACAGAATTTTCATTTTTGGGTGAGCTATCCCTTTAAGAAGGACATCATCTATCTCCTATTACTGTACCTATTAATAGTGGCCTATCTGTAAGTTCTCAGATTTATAGTCTGCTTGCAAAAATGTAAAAATGCAATCTCAAAAAGAAAAAGAAAAAAAAAAGCATTTGAATTACTGGTGCAGCTGCTGCTGTTTTGTCTCTGTACATGTTTTTGATATTTTCCCGCTTCTCCACATGGAGCTTTAACTACTGCAACTTTAGTTTGTTGGCGCCATCTTGTGGTTTTGTGGAATACTCTCATGCAGATCATGTGTCTTTAGGAAAACAGTCATTGGTTACACTTAAAAATAAAGGTTTCAAAAAATGTATAGGTAGGTTATAGGTATCGTTTTAAAGCGTTTATGATTTCCACTAATTCTAAGAACCTTTAAGTACATATGATATCATAGAAAAGATTCTATAGAATATATGTTTCTTTACAAATCCATACGTGGTGCTTTAAATAACCCACTTAAAGGGATAGTTCACCCAAAAAAAGAAAATTTCCCCATGATTTACTCACCCTCAAGGCATCCTATGTGTAAATGACTTTCTTCTTTCAGACGAATGCAATCGGAGTTATATTGAAAAATGTCTTGGCTCTTCCAAGCTTTATAATGGCAGTGAATGGGTGTTATTTTTCAATAGTCCAAAAGAAGTCCAATAAAGCGCATCCATCCATCATAAAAAGTGTCCCACGCGGCTCCGGGGGTGAATAAAGGCGAGTAAATAATGGGGTAATTTTCATTTCTGGGTGAACTATCACTTTAAAACTTTTACCTATTCCCCATGATTTACTCACCCTCAAGGCATCCTATGTGTAAATGACTTTCTTCTTTCAGACGAATGCAATCGGAGTTATATTGAAAAATGTCTTGGCTCTTCCAAGCTTTATAATGGCAGTGAATGGGTGTTATTTTTCAATAGTCCAAAAGAAGTCCAATAAAGCGCATCCATCCATCATAAAAAGTGTCCCACGCGGCTCCGGGGGTGAATAAAGGCGAGTAAATAATGGGGTAATTTTCATTTCTGGGTGAACTATCACTTTAAAACTTTTACCTATTACTTAAACCTTATCATTTTTCCCGCATGACACCTAGAACAAATACATAGATCTGAAGAACTTGTAATGCCTATTGCACAGGCTCACTTTTTTAATATTTAAAGAATTATATATGCAATTTTAAAAAAATCTATCAAAATGATTCTTGATAAGAGGGTACTAAAATTAAGTTGCTCTAAAGAATCAGTTAAGAACCTTAATTTTTAAAAGTGTTCCATTTCCCTCAGGAAAAGCCATATATTATATACAGTATTCATAATGGGTCATTGTGCTCTGTGATGCAACATTAAAATGGCCTTATAAATAATAAATGTTTAATCAAATCTTCATGTTAAGAAATCACTATAAGGTGACTTCATCACTAATCTGTCTAAATTATTACAAAAACGGGAAAATAAAGTGCATTTTGGACTACTGTAAAGACTTTTAAGCTAAAGAAAAACTTTTAAAAAGAGTAAACCGTGTAAATAACATGTTAATATGAACATTAGAAGTAAATTTTGCAGTCGATGATGATGGACAACTTATTAAAATATTTTTTTTCTAACCTGAATGAATTGCCCTCTTAAACTATTTTATATATTTTGATGAATTCTTTCTATTGTTATGAAACACATTAAGGAGTATTTGTACAGGACAATTTGGTCAGGAACTTTTTATTTTTATTTCTCTCTTATTGGAAATAAATATTGCTTGCATGTTGCTTCTCCACTGCTCAGCTCATTAATCAAACCAACATTTTTTTTTTACCACTAACAGCCTGCTAACACAATAATTCCAATTTATTTATTATTTTGATACTGCCAGCTATTGCGCAATTCATGCAGGGTAACAATTAGTTTGGATTTAGATTTTAAAAATTTGGGCTAAAAAAAAATCTAAGTTTGCAAGTTAAACTATAATATATAATATATATATTATATATATTATATCAAAAATCTAAAAGTTGTGTTTTTGAGTTTAGCATTTCCTTAAACATTTTCCATTTGGCCACCAATTTATTTTATTTATTTGCCTATATTTCATCACACGTTTAATTATTTATTTACGTATTTAAACAAGAATACGTGTATTTATACACACATTTATTTATTTATTTGCGTATTTATTTATTTATACACACATTTATTTATTTATTTGTGTATTTATTTATTTTTAATTTCTGCAGGTTTGGTCCTCCATACCCTGAGGCATCACAGAGAAAAAAAAATGACAAGACTGCCAGTGTTTCACTATGTATCTCATTAACGGCATACTGTTTCTGGGCAAAAAAAATAGTCCTGCATAAATTACCAACAATTACTAAACCAGAACTGAAGACCAGGCTAAACCATTTGAACTGTATTAACTGGCAGCAGATGAGAATACGAAGAGTGTTTGCATTGAAAGTGAAGATTGCTCACAAAATTAAGACAGTGTAGTTATGTCCCTTATTTCTCACCACAAATGCTGTTAATGGACACACTTAATTCTCAACTTCAGTTTTTCAATTTAAAAAGTGCTATTCATGAATCAATGTAACAAGACATCAGTTATCCCACTGTAAAATAAAGCATTTAGAAAGCCAGATTACTAAATTAACAGGAACTCAATGCTTACTTATTGTTGCACTGCTTAGAGTACAGAGCTCATAAAACCTGCTTTAAAAAAGCAAAATATCCTAATGCAAATCTGAAATATAACACACACAACAGCTTTTGATTATCTTCAAAGCAAATAAGAGGAAACTGATTCACATTATCTCCTGCAATTTCATAAAAATGTTTATTTTTTGTACGATGATGTCTCAAACTTTCTTGCCCTTTCACATCATATAAACCACATACATTTTAATTTCAAGAATCTGTCCACAAACACACCACATCAATAGGTGCCTCTCTTTGAGGGCAGTATCTGATCTGTCACCAAAGAATACATCGCCATCATGCCCCAAACTCCTCTATGTACAGATAGTTAAGATCCTGTGATAACTAAAGAAAGATAAAGAGCTGCTGGATAAAAATGTACCTTTTTTTTTTTTTTAAAGATGTTGACAGTTAATGAAGGAAAGGGAAACGTACAAACAGGGGATGACAAAGTGCTCATAGTCACAAAAACCACTGATTAAAAATTCTCTGAAACAGAGACATAATAGCTTGCAAATTTAGCACAGCTTAAACCATCTTGAAAGATTGAATGCATCCATTTAAATGATCGTACAATATCATAATATGTCATACTATCATTTTTCCATCCTTGCGGAAAAAAGAGTGAAAGCTTTCAGGCAGTCTGAACTTATAGACCTTTTTCACCATGATATTATCTACTTTGGGTTTATGACTTATTTACATTTTATAAATACATGATAACAATGCCAATTTCAGATGTATCACTGCAGAAGCACTGCATTAACAATGTCGTTTTTAGAATACAAAGGTTTTACAAAGGTGTTTTAAGCAACCATTATAATGAGAGATCACATTCTGAGCAAATCCTTGACCGAAATATCAAGGATATTGGACTGAAATGGCCATACCATGTTCTTAAAATGGCATACAATGCTCGTTATATGAAGCTGTCATTTGAGGTCTAATTTAATAGTCCTCTTGTGTTATTCTCAAATTCTTTTCCAATGTCTACGTCACTGTTTGTGACCTCCTTTGGGCTGGAATTACTCGGACTGGTTTTATTTTTCTCCTTTTTTTCATCCAACTTGGGATTTGTTTTCTCTGAAACAGACACACAAAAAAACTGTTTTTACTTTACATGATACTTTATTTACATTTTTTTTAAAAAACAAAAAAACTTTATTATTAATAATTTGCCTGAATTTGATTCATGGATTACATTTCCACACATTTTAATATGCATTTCATCTCTTAACGGGACAAGCCAAAGATGCATTTTGACTTACGCTCTAGATTTAAAAGATGGCCACCATCTGCTTCACTGCTTCCAACAGCATCATTGTCTTCCTCGCTGAGTTCCACTATTCGCTGTCTTGCACTCTCAAAAACAGACTTCAAAACAATGGAGTCCTCAAAAATCTAAGATATAGAGAGATATTTAACAATCTCTACACAATTCACCTTCTTTATTCACTGAGACAAATAGCTTTTTGAAAATATTCAGACCCATTTATCACACCCATTAAAGGGATAGTTCACCCCAAATGAAAATAGTATGGAAAAAAATACTATGGAAGTCAATGGTTACCTTCAACAGGTTTGGAACAACTTGTGGGTAAGTAAATGATGACAGAGTTTTCATCTTTGAGTGAACTATCCCTTTAAGTACTAAAGTAATAGTTTTAATGTTAAATGCAAATATGAGCAGACTGTTTTTTTTATGTTAGACAGGCTCTAAGTTTACATATGCCCATGTAAGTTAAGAACTTGCAAATAAAACATTCACAAACACGCAATACCAAAATAAAAAACAAATCTAAATGTGTGATCGAAGTGAGAAAATTGGTTCATTGTGTAAATACCGTTTGAAAACAGGGAATGCAAAAGAAATTTGAATTCGAAATGTTTTAGAAAGTATTTTTTAAAAGAAGAACATGTTCTTAAGGCACACCTGAGATCCTTCCAGATTAAACGTCTGAGCATTGTGGCACATCTGCATAATATCCTTTTCCAGGTCTGCAATGCACCTGTATTTGTGATTACGCACTCTCTCCTGCATAAAAAAAACCCAGGAAAGATTCAAAACGATACAAGAACAATGAAAAAGTTATATAAAGAGGCATGCATGTATTTCCTGTGAAACATTTAAAGTAATGACAGATTTTCATTGAATCTGCAAAAAAATATGCTTCCTTTATATCACTCTAAAACACAGCCAGCAAAAAACACACAACCTGTGCGACAAGAGCAGAATCAATGCATTTTTTGAGCTGAAGTTATGTCAGTGCGGAGGGAGGGGGGAGGAACCAGAGGGAGAGGATTGGTCATTTTAGAAAAAATAAGACAGATAGGACTATGGGATCTCGAATAAACATGCTGATAGGATATCAAATATGGTGTAGCTGAGAACAATTCAAGTTCACCCTGATCCTCCTGAAGTCGAC